GCTAAGCTTACTGGCACAGTAGCCTCATATCTACTGACTGAACTCAACATCTAACTCTTGGCAAGCAAGCGAACAGGCGAATTTCCCACAATTGTTTTCTTTTGTGAAACTTTAAACCCAAATTTCAATCCTCTCCCCTGCATTGCTTCAACATTAAATATAACTTTTTACAGATCATTTCTACATAATACACATCCACTTTAAAGCAATTACTCAGGACTCAGACCTGGCAAATTGGAGAGCTGGTTGCTTTTTGAATCCACGGTGGAGCCTTAAAACAAAGAGGGGCTGTGCTTTTACTGTTCTCGTCCTGGAACGCCCTTGATCAGCTCAGTCAATCCCTCATTTAAAAAAAAAAAAGAAAAGAAAGAAACTAAATGTTTAAACGCTGCCTGAATAAAATGGCTTTCTAAAAAAAATGCTTTTAATATTTTAGTGTTTTACTTTGTTATTAATCACATTTTATATTATGCATATTTTATGCATTTGTGTTGCATTTTGGGTAAATTCTCCGGTTTAAACGGATGCTGTAAAACAAAAGCAATATTATTATTAATATTGTTATCATGTGGACATAATTCTGCCTTGGTTTCTTTTACCCATGACCATGATCTTTCCCAAGACGTCCCATGGAAATGTGGATCAGTAACAATAACATAAATGTCTTAACAGTGGCATGGATCTATTTTCTTGTGAGATGTAATTTCTTGTCAAGTTCCCCCCAAGCCCATTGCAACACTTTCTGTCCTTGTTTGAAAAGGTGTCTTCCTAAGTATAACCCCCTCCCCCTGACATGCACACACTGTAAGTATCTATACACTCAAAACCTTTTCTTTATTCATCTCTGTTTCTTTTTCTTTGCACCAGCACAAACACAGACAAGCCATCTCTAACGCAGACTCCTGCTCTCCCTCTATGAATAGGGGGACCTTGGCTGTCTCTATTGAAAAGCTCATTCCTCATTGAAAACGAAGCCCTTGTCCTTACATTGCTCTGCCTACCGCACTGATTGAGTACTAATGGCAACATCAGTCCCCATCTGGTGTCCATCATTTGGATTCAGGGCAGGGCTCGTCCCAGCAGATACATCCGATTAGTCCATCTCATCGATTTGTGCTGGCTCGTCATGACTTAGTCAACCCAAGGTGTCTCTTCTATGACATGCTGTCTCCTTGCGATTCAGTTTGCCAACACTCTAAGTGCATTGAGTGTGACAATAAAATCTTTAATCTAATATGCATCCTAAGGAGGGAGGTGGTGGAGAATTAAGAGAGAGTGAGGCAGCGGTACAGAGGAGGGAGGTAATGCACTCGATAAGATATAATGTATCGTGTTACTGAAATGCAGGATACAGCCCTACAGATGGATAGATTTGCGATTTCAGGTGTAACACATGACATTAAACGGTTTGTCAAATATTCTTCCTTGTTATCAAATCGTGAACATACACTGCAACAGAGTGCTTATTTTTCTTTTTAAGCTCTTTGTGGAAGATATCTCGAGAAGGTGAACTGAGATTATTATCTGCTGAAATAGACATTTTTTTTTTCATCTATGCTCCAAAGAGGTCCAAATCCTATTTTCTCCCAGCATGTAACCCAACCCAATCTGTGTTTGCAGTTTGACGCACATGATAGCATGAATGGGGTTATAGGGCAAAAACACATGCATGGTGCTCCCAGTAATGCTAACTGACAAGGATCCCATTGCCTGGGCTTGTGAGAAAGTATCATATTTATGGATGTGTGAGCTGTATATCAATGAGATATGAAACAGCACTGTTTGAATAGATCATTACACAGATCTCCAGTACAGTGCTTGATCTACTGTATTCCAATGCTGCTCGCTATCTCTGTAAACACGCATAACATTATGGAAATGACAGACTGTAACACATAGTGATGTAGTGTAAAAGTGTGGGAATATGTTGCAAAAATTTGATTATGGGGACGTGAACACATTTAGTTTATTATTACTCTTCTTATTTTTGTGTATTGGATGAAAAGCCAACATTATAACAGAATGGTGCCACTTTGACTGTGCCTCTTTGGTGGTTTAGGTTTATATCTCTTTTGATGATAGTGCATAAATAATTAATGAAATCTACATCTAATGGAGGATGCAATAAATCCTATTCAGAAAAAGAGAGTTGATTGTGCTGACAGTTTTAACTAATGCTTTGCTAGGCTTTGTTTCTTTTTTAAAATGTATTTATTTTAAGAACCCATGCACAGAATCCTCTTTGATTTTCATGTCTATAATTGCTTGTTGGCATGGCTGACCTTCCATGTTGACACCAACGAGCCGCGTTCTCACCTCTTCCTCCCAACTTCTGCTTCTCTATAATTGTCCTGATAATAAATGAACAGTTGCATTGAAATAGGTATGATTCACCCACCCAGTCAGTCAGTCAGCCTTCCCATCTCACCCTGCAGTGACCCTGCCTGCGTGAGTGTTCAGATTACTGTATGTGAGAGGAGGAAAATCTCTGGCTTAAAGCCAGACACTTGTCATTTTGTAAGAACGACTATATATATATATGAAATTGAATGATAAAACCTTCAAGTAAGAAAGGGAGAATTACATGACACTGCAGTAAAATTAGAAAGTACTCTGCTCTGTAAAAATACACAATTCATAGGGGGCGTTGGAGGATAATAAGAGCGTACAATGAGATGTTAGCAGCAAGTAAAAAAAATATGAGCATGCAAACTTTCATTCATTTAAAAAGAACACACGCATCACCTGGTCACTGGTTGTTTATGATGGTATTGTTTTCCTCCGCACTAATCAATCAAATAGGAAAATAAACCCCGCTTTTTGAAAATAGAGTTCAAGCCATCTTTGCACCGCTCGGCAGGAACATGTGGATGGAGGTGAGGGAGAAAATGGGCCTGCGTGAGAAGTAATCAACGCAGCCCACTATGATGGTGGCAGCAGGTTAAGAAGGGGATGGGGAGAGATAGCTCTGTTCCTATGCCAGAGAAAATGAAAGCAGCTGGGGGTATACGCTGTGTGCGCTAGTCAGTCAAACATGCTTGTTATCAACTTTTTTCCCCCTTTTTTTTGGATGCTAGTGTGTATGTGTGCATGTGTGCGTGAGAGAGATGAGACACAGCAGGAGAGGAATGCAGTCATGGTTGTAAAGTGGGTGTGAAAACAGCCATGTTAAGTGACCTCCGGGTTGACCTACCCACCCCTCCTTCCCTAGTAGCTGATAATGTCCTCCCTTTGTGTGTGTGCGTGTTACAAAAAAAAAGGCTTGAAAAAAAAAGTGTGTATGTCATAACATTTTTCCAGGATTGTCTGGTGCTGATGTCTGCATGTGGTTGCAGAGTGAGTGTCCTGCCAGTGTGCATGTGCGCGCTGATAGATGTAAGTGAGTGGTCCTTAGTTTACACTAGTCCAAGAGAACAGGTCAAGAGAATTATCTTAAAATATTAGCTGCCCTCTTACCCTTTCCTCCCTTCTCTTGTCTTTCCACTCTTGTTTCCTCCCCTCCTGTTTTCTGAAAGGGACACAGCACCTGTTGCACTCACATAAAGTAGACATTTTTGGAATTTAGAGTGAAATGTCTTGATTTTCTTGACTTTATAACAGAGATATTGATGCACCAGGCAACCAGGCAAGGTTTTATCTGAATTTACTATTTTTTTATCAATAGGTTTATATTAGCTATTTGCTGACAGTGATATTAGAGATGTGGAAAATGTAAAAATGAAAACAACAGAAAACGTAGCTATAAACTTTACTTACCTCTTTGTAATGATCACATTTATTGTTCATGCCTATTATAATAAATGTTATTTTCTAGATTTACATTTTAAATCCCACTTATTTAAACTTCAATGTGCTTGTTGTTTTCACTGGAACTACTTTTTCCACTTCCTCCACCTGCTCTCTCCCTTTAAAAATCATATCTGCTTTGTTTAATATCTCACTTATTTTTACATTTACACAAGATGGGCAAAGATTTTAGTCCTTAAAGTTTATAGTATGTCTTCAATATTATTACTGTTATTTAAAAATCATTCCGAATGGCCCCATCGGTGAAATTTCACCCCATAACTCTTGCCTCTATAGGCTGTTCATATTACACATTATTTTCGCTGCGGATGTCCCATCTGAGTTTAGGCCTACAGCTTATTTTCTAAAGTTTCATAAATCCTCCTTGTGAGCATTTGTCTGATTAACTCGACGACAGACGCGCTTCCCCTGGCGCACTCGAGCTTGAATTTGTCCTTGGCTGAGTCGGCGACTCGCCACTGCGGGGCGTCTGGGCGCTGGAGCAGCTCCTCGAACCGCTCCAGCAACAGGCTGCCCCGCTACATCTGCACGGGCAATGCGTGGTCATCATCTCTCAACACTGCGCTATCACACAGAAGGGCTGAGAAGTGTCGCTGCCCTCCTCCTCTAACTGTAGATTTGACCTTTGTGGAGGTAAAGTAGTTAAAATTAAATACAATATAAAAAATTATATTAAATATATTTTTTTAAATTAGATTGATGAAAAAAATAATGGGCAATGAAAGTACAAAGAAAATAACATGTTAATATTAATTATCTTTTTCCTTATAAAATCTAATATATTTATGTATAAAAGTATTGTTATGTCAACATCTTGGCCATTACCTCGTTACAGGCTTCCTCTTGTTAATAGAAAAAAACGCAACTTAAATTGAAATGAGAGTGTAACTGGAGCCCATGGTCTTCTTTGGTCCGCTGCGTCCGTTTGCATGTAATTAAATTGCGCCGAGCGCACTTATCAAGCGGAGCTGACAACGTGGTGTGGACAGAGTATCTAAAAGCGGTCACTGTCCCAGCTGTGCGCACCTCTTTCCATGTCCCCTTCCAGCTCTACCTTTCGGTAATTGAATTAGCTCGGTTTTAGGTGGGGGAGGGGCTTGGCTTTGTTCGAGAGACGCCCATTCAAATAATTTCAAACCAATGGGACTATCCCCCGCTCCGTCGTAACCAAACCCACTCTCTCACTCGGCGTCTCAAGCTGCCTGCTTGTGCCCTCACCTTCCTGCGTGTCCCGGCGTTTGAAACCCAAACATAAGAAAAAGAGGAAGACTTCATAGCGCGCTCATGGGAGAACGCAGTATTTTTTTCATGCCTGCACGTCGCACGATGGCTTATATATGAGGAGGACAGTTTGGGATGCGACCATAAACAAGCGCCTCCACGGACAGAAGCGCATGAGAAAACATAACTCTGTCCTCCCCGACACCGAGAAGGACTCCTCCCCGCATCGGTCGTGTCACACCCGGTAAATCGCCGGGAAAGGATAACATTATTTTTTTTCACGCTGGAAACGAAAGACCGTGTCCAGCTTTCCCCATTCATTTCTCAGTGACTGGCTGACTGTATGGCTTTAAAAAGTTGCCTGGAAAACATGGACATCTGACGTGCGCCTTACAGCGTCATTGGACACATTGATTCCCCCCTCTCTCTTTTTTTCTCCATCATATCTTGGGCTGGCTAATCCCCTGCGCTTTCGGTTTGGAGTAAAGAATAAGTGTTCAGCAGCTGTCATTTGCCCCGATACAGGCTACATCCAGTAGCTCCCTGCAGGAACACGATCACACCACAGAAGACACTGCCTGTTGTGCTGCGTATTGGTGCCTACATTTGCTGATCACTGTTTGTGCAGTAGATGGAGAGATATTTTGTCACCTTGATACGGATTTGTTAGAGTTGACAACCTTCACCAAATAAAGCTCATGATTCATCTGAACTTTCTCTCTGCGTCAGCGAGAAACGCGTTGCTTTTGTAACTTCACATTTCCTTCGACCCGAAGAAGTGTCATCCGAACTGTCATTAATGGTTTTTCCTTCGTTTTCTATGTTGTGCGCATTTGTATTTGTTTAGTATTCACAAACTGCGCCAGAAACACGCGGACACGTGTGAATGAGACTCATCACCTGTCCCGGTTGAAACGCCCGTGCAACTTGACTGACTAACCTACGCTGAAGAGGAATACGTGCCGAAGTTTGCTGTAGTGATGCTGCAATTGGAAATGGTTGTCTTCGTCTGCTTGGTGCTGTTGATGTGTGTATTTAGCCAGGAGCCAAGCTCCAAAGTGGTGGCCGACCGCTACGCTGTCTTCTGGAACCGAACCAACACCAAGTAAGTGGCTTCTCACCGGGCAGGTTTAACTACGGAGGGACGGCGAGGTTCCTTCTCTTATGTACGAACGACGGCTTTTCAGGTTTGCCGGACCACATCAGTATTTATTCTCCGCAGTGAGGGCATAATGCCAGCATCTGTAGGTAAATGCTACAACCAAGGACAGGAAAAACCCTCTGTCTTATTTTCAGCGCGAGGCTGCTCATAAAAAGCGTACCTGCCGAGAAACTATAGATTAAAACCGTGCGTAACAAGGCCCGGACATAACCTGTAAAGCCTAATGTTCCTTCGCTTTACCCGCTGTCAGTATCGTCCTGATAAGGAAAGTAACCATTTACCCTCTTACAGACAGAGGGACTGTGCCATACAATCAGGATCATTATCTTATGTTCTTTCTCTCCTCGGTGGACTCAAGCTGTGCTTGACACGACCCCACCGGAGCCATTAACACCTGTATCTTATTAGTCTCAGCACAAATCCAAAAAGCCCATTTACCTACAAAATATGGTAATTAATTTCCTCGCTTTTAGATTACATGTGTTTGCTTCATTCGGAAAACTCCAGTTATAGGAGTAACGCCACGAACAGGCCAAATGTCTCAGACCTGTGAACTACGGAGGAGGGCTTCTCTATGTCGCTTGTGCGTTTTGCGTTCAGGGCATTTATGGCTTCGTCACAATATAGAAACTTAAGATACTGATCGTAGGCACAGATAGCCTATATGTCAGTCAGGATTAAAGAATCAATTTTTCATATTTCAGGACAGTTACCATAATGTAATCTAGACGCATTCGGCGATATCAACACAACTAAAAATACCTAAAGGAGTGCTTCATAAGTACAGAGTAACCACAGCAAAAAAAGAAAATGACAGAAAATGTCAAACTCGCATTTGAATAATAAAAACACGCAGTAGATTAAATCCGAAGTGACGTTATCGCCAGTTTTGAGAGTTTTAATTGGTCAAGTTTTATTTTTTTCTTCTTTAAGTTGCTCCTTGTTAAATTTGTTCTCGGATCACCTTTAAGGGTTGCTGGAAAATTAAGCAAAATGTTATCAATGTTTCTTTAGTTCATACGTTTAACAGTCAATGTGAAATATAGTTTGTAAAATTACATTTGTGCAGCATTGAACTGTAGCATGTGTGGACTTATTACAGTGAAGCAGTAAATGAAGCTTGTCGAAATTAAGCAGCGTTTTTCAGGCTTTTAAAGAAACTAATAACAGATGTTTTGCTAAAAATTAAATACAAGAATACTAATTAACTGTGTCATCTGTGAAAGGTTTAATTTGCCTTAGTAAAGAGATGGCTGGTTAGTGTGAAAACCAATAATTTGTCTTCTTAAAATAATGTTCTCCTTTGTTATTCTGAAAGAGACAACGTTTTTCTTGAAATTTATTTATTTATTTGTTACTTTTTCCATAGATGTGAAGATAAATTGTTACTTTAGAGTTTAGAGGACATCTATCTTGTCAAAAAATGGAACAGTTAATGTAACTGTGAAAAGAGGCGCTTTTCACTTTTTATTTTAGGAAAATAAAGATACTTATGTGTTTAACATAATTAGATTCACCAAAACTCAGTTTGTAAGTGAGAACGTAGGTCATTCAAACTCGGCAACTTCAGCAAAGCAAAATGAAAGTTTGTGAGAAGTGCTGCAGTCCTTGAGACTGAAACTTCAACAACGTTGAGTTAACCTCAGTGCACATTGTGGACATTCGTTGAGACAGCATTTCCCACTAAAAGTCCCTTATGGAGTTAAACTGTACAGCCTTGTCTCAGGCTTATTAAGTCTAAATGCTGCTGGTTGAGTTTACAGAGAGATTTCACTGAGCTGCCAATGGTACTTAGTATTTGTTGAATAAAATGCTTAACACAAAGCCATTAATAGCATATGCTGAATTTGTTGCACAACTATTTACGTTCAGTTTGAAATTTGGGAAAACATGATTTATTGCTTGAAACAATTAGTGGTCAGGCTTACAGACGGAGGGCTGACTGTAAGCTTTCTCCTGAAGTCGGGGCCAGTCTAGCGGGGTGTGTAGATTCTCGGCCTGATATACCGTAGACCGTGACTGCTGTGGTCTTAGTCCCTATTCCAGCTTACCCTGGCTGTTTATTTATGGAGCGCTTTCTTCAGTAGAGGCAAACACAATTTTAAGTTAAAGTTTGAGTTAAAGATTTCTGCTGTTGATAGACACACTTTCATTAGTCTGCACATTTTTTTCCCCCAACAAAACAGTTTTGACTTGACTTGCCGCTCTGTTAACTTGATATCTTCCAGATGTGCTGACAAGTTTCCGTAAAGAAAGAAACAACAAAAAACAAAGTACGGTTTAAAGAAAAATGGAAATATAAGTACATCTACGTTTGATCTTTGATCTGACATAGGAACGCGGAAAAAAGAAACGGTGAGAGTGTAAAATACGGTTGTAGTGATCCGTGTTGCACTTTTACTGTCTTTGAGTCCGCTGTAAAATCACAGAAACAGATAGTTTCTTGCATCTCATCTGTTTCTGAGGCTCTTTGTTGCCCGAGGAAAGAAAACAGGTTTTCATGCTAACACCAGTCACTCTGTTCTACTTACCCCAAATAGAGTTTGTTTGACTCTCACCCCTGCAGGTCTGAGGCAGGAAGCCAGAAAGCAGTGAAGAAAAGGAGAGAGGCAGAGATGGCAAACGTGTGTTATTGATGACTCTGTTAATAAATATTGAGTCCCTTTCCTCATGCATTACTGTAGAAAGCTGGTGTGGCATGGTAGTGGAACTTGTGTGCGTCTGCCTTTTGTTCTGAGGCTTCCAGTCACACTGAAAGAATTTACAGCGTCCCTGATCACAAACAGACTCATTCGCACGTTACTTTCCAATTGATTTACTGCTATCATCATGTAATTCATCAGAAATGTTATTAGAAGAGTTAATTCCATGTTTTTTCCCCCTATGTTTGAATCAGCTCATATTCTTAGTTGCTGGTATCTGACCACAATCATTCAGGGCTTGTTTTACTACCTAGAGAAAAAGCCATTTGTCGACACTCCTTTTTTGCTCCGTGTGAAACTGCAGCTTCCTCGAATTTGAAAATTGCCCAAGAGATATGATCCATCACACTAACGCTGCTCTTTGAGTTGGGTTTTGTCATAAAACCTCTTTTGCTTTTAATTCATTTAACCAAATTGGATGTTTCACTTCAGTGTGCGCAATGTGCTGTGCTCTGCTTGCTTACTTAATCACCTGAAATGCACAGAAGTAATTCTTCTAGAGAAAGCTTCTGTATGGAAATGCCAGGTGAAACAGCTTGACTCGTAAACTTTGCTACATCTGTTTCTGTCCAACATCAATCAGCCTGAAACTGTCCGCAGGAACGTAAACATGAATTTGTCTGATTTCAAGTGTCATGCCGTGCTAAATGATTTGAGAAAGTCTGAAGTCGATGTAAACGGAAAAAGTGAAAGGGCTCAAAGTTTAAACAGTGAGCTATGCTTTAGTTTCACTCGCTGATATACAAAGCACACTGCGGTAGACCTGCTTACAGACCGTCAGTAACGTAGAACCGGGAGCCTCAGATTGGAAGTTTTTGTGTTTGGAATAAAACGTTCTGCTTTTTTTCCCCGTGAAGTTTGCATTTTCTTCAAAAGTTTTCTCATTCGAAATTATAACTGAATTACACATTATTGTGAAATGCTATTTGTGCTCGCCGTGCCACAGTAATTTCTGCCGGGTGTTTGTGTTGTTCCTGATCTGGGTGCAGGCTGAGGGGGGTTTCCTTGCCGTTTTGTTGGCTTGGTTCCATCGTTGTCTCTCACGGCCGCAGCATGAGACCAAAAACTTGCTAACTGCATTGTTTTTCTGAATAGCACCTTTATCTTTTAATCTCCCTCTCTCTCTGTGAGACATCTAAACTTTCTCTTTTAGTTTTCTCTTTGATAGTTACTCAAAAGAATTTAATTTGGAATATTAGCATTTTTGAGGATGTTTGGAGAAATCCTGGATGAAACCCTACAGTTTTATCTGAAAGACTTCCATTAGTTTGAAATAACACTTCTCTCTGTGGAATCTGTCCCTCTATCTCACTAACTGTCTTTGCTTGCGAGCATTTATTCCAATAAGGGACAGACAGTGACTCTAATGATGTCTCAGCTGTAATAGCGAAGAAATGGCTTTCTCTTCCATGCTCCCCCTTCGTCCTTTCTTCTTCCCCATATCCCTCCTTGCCTTGATCCCGTGCTGCCTCTCTGCTCTCCGTCTCTTTCTCTCTCTCCTTCCTTCCCTTTCTCCCTCTCTCTTTTTGTCTCTTCTTGCCAGGCGCAGAAAATGAATGAATACAATTAGATATTTTCAGAGTCCCTCCACGGTTGATGGTGGAGAAAGACGCGCAGAGGTCAGGCACACTCTGAGAGGAGCTCAGGGAGAGGTCACACACATACGGAGAGGAATAACGAAGCAGAGAGTTGGCTTGCAACAGACAAAGTAGTAACTGCAACTCTCCTTGAAGTGGAAGGTGTTATTAACATAAACAGTTTGATGCGGTTGTGGTCATGCAAATTGCTCAAGGTGATTTGTATTTTGCTGCATAATTTGTAGCTCAACCAATGAAATTTTCTAACAAGCTGCTTTAGACCTGTATATAGTAGTGTTGCTCCTAGTATTAGTCTGCTTTTGTTGCTGTCTTGATTGGCTCATCTTTGTTTGTGTGTGTGTGTGTGTGCCAAATGAGCCATAAGGTCATAAAGGGCTTGTTTCCGCTTCTTCATATTCCTGGATACTGCAATAATCACATGTTTCTGCCTCTTACTTCTCATTACCTGTCATAGACTAGTGGGTCATGAATATATGTATTATCAATCTGTGCTTGCATGTAGGTGCATTGATTTATACTAAGGCACAAATGCATAAAGTTGGAAAATCATAGTCTCTACATGCATTTGCCTTTAACAAATGGGAAAATTTTATATTACGTTATCATTCGTATGATTACAAATTCTGAATACCTGTAATTTTTA